TCTCTGACCTTTAGATGTGTGGTTGTCCGGGTTACTACTACTCACGGTGGGTTGTTTTGGTGAACCTGTTTGCTCTTTTCCTGTGTGACCTTTCAGTTACTATGGTAAACCCATCCCATAATAGTTTGTGTTTTTTTTGCTTTAAAAGGCCGGTGCTTGCCGGCAATAAACGCCGCCTTGATCAGACTCTTGTCTTGGCGTCCTTCTTTTCTCTCTGCCCCATCTCCACCCCGCTGCTCTTTCAGGTTTGAGGCACTGCTGGACAGTGCTCTGCGTCGCCGGCTCGCGACATCTTCCCATTTCCCAATATTTATTTTACATTTTAGTCCTTATTTCCACTTTAGGTTTCTCACACCAGAGAAACAGTGGTATTTACACGTGTGTCCAGTTTATTTCACTTAGGAGTATGGTCTCGAGGTCCAACCATTTAGCTATAAATGTCTGAAGCTCATCCTTCTTTGTGGCAGAGTGGTATTCCATTGAATAAAAAACCACATCTTCTTTATTCTCTTGTCACTTGATGGGCATCTGGCTGTTTCCAAGATTCAGCCATTACAAACTGTGCTGCTATACACATGGGTGTGCACACATCACTGCAGTGTGATGCTTTTAGATCTTTTGGGAAGATACCAAGAAGAGGTATAGCTGGGTCAAATGGAACCTCTAGTTTTAGTTTTTTGAAAAATCTCCACACAAATTTTCCAGTTTTTTTGTAGGGTAAACTTATCTCTTCTTCAGCTGATAACAGTTTAAGAACCAACAGTCACTTTGCAGAGTACACCTTGAGTGGCTCTGTAATCAGCTTGGTTAGAGTAGAAAATAGGACAGATGTCCTAAGCTCACGGTCAGAACAGAGGCTGAGCTCATGGAGACCTGGGGGACCCACCTGGGAATTACACCGGTACTGGTCCAGCCCCTTTTTCCTCAGGCAGAACCCAAATGGGCAGAGACCATGAAGAACCAAGGCTTGGCTCAGGAAGCACAGCTCGGCAACCTGACAAAATGCTACTTGATCTGAGGAACAGATTGACCAGTGCAGGCCTCTACACCAAGCTGGGTGGATCAGAAATGGGCCTGGAAACTGAGACTCCCATGGTGGGCTACGGCCTCCACCAGTAGTCCCTGGTGGGAGTTTGTTTAGCTGAGCCATGGCACAAATGGGGTGAGGAAGGTGCTCTCCCATGCCCACAGGCAACAGAGACGGCACGCGGCTTGCTTTGGTTGTCAGAATTGTAAGGTTGAATTTAATGTTCAACTGAATACATTTAACTCAGGTATTTGGTAACATTGATTATCATTGTTTTGCATCAAATGGGTGTCTTTTATTTTGGGGGGGTACCAGGATGGTTCTAATGAGCATCCCTTGAAGGTCTGGTCCCACAGCACTGCCAGAGGAGCTGTGTGTCCTGAAGAGGTAGGGCCTAGCGGGAGGGCACTGGTGGTGGCCTTGAAGGGACGGTGGGCCCTGTCTCTTCTTGTCTCTGTCTCTGCAGGGATGAAAACGAGGCACTGACAGGCAAGGGGCTCCAGGGCTTGCTGGCCAGCAGCACAAACTAGGAAGAGGTGCTGAAAGTTCTCCCTGGGAGGCTGCAGGGAAGCAGGGTTGCTGGCACCTTGATTCTGACTTCCAGCTCCTGATTTGTGAGGTGGGAAATTGGGTTTCTGAGGCCAGCCAGTCTGTGGTACTGGTGTGGCAGAGCAGATACACAGGCTAGAAGACAGCACTGGAGGAGACACATCAAAGTGGGGCAAGGTGAAGGATGCTTTTCATCTCTACCAGGTAGACTTCTTGGAGTTGTTCAGTTGTTTTTATTAATCAGTGTAGCAGCATCTCTTTTGTCTTCCTTCCCCTTCCTCCTCCTCCTCCCCCTCCTTTTCTCCTTCTCTTTTCTTTCCCCTCCTTCTCCTCCCCCCTCTTTTTCTCCTTCTCTTCTCCTTCCTTCTCCTCCTCTTCTTCTCCCCCTGCTCTTCCTCCTCCTCCTTCCCCTTCTCCTTTATTCCAGAGACTCTGTATTCTTTTTTTTTTTTTTTTTTTTT